TGTGGCCTTATGACCACTTCCGGTGATGTCAGGGGGTGTGGCATATGCTAATGAGTTATGCTAATGAGTTCCCCTAGCTCTTTTTCTACGAAATGACCCCTGACTCCTGCAGGAAATGACCCTTGGGAATTCGTATAATCTAGTAAAAGACCAATATTCTTTGGGGGGAGATAGTCCGATGACTGGAGAAACTACCAGTGTGGGCTGAGATACGTCGGGATACAAGAACACTGAAGCCGGGACAAACAGACCCACACAAAGAGACAATTTTCGGCGGCTTCTCCCATGTCCGCCGAGCTCCTCTGCCTTAGGGTGGACGGAGAAGTGGCCCTCGCCTGCACCCACCTGTAACAGCATGTCCCCCGGTTCGATCCGCCCGTCAGCCGCCACGGCCCCGCCTTTCATGATGGAGCCAATGTAGATCCCCCCGTCTCCCCGGTCGTTGCTCTGGCCTACGATGCTGATCCCCAGGAAGTTGTATTTTTCTGAAAGAGGGGACGGGGTGGGGGGAGGATGCATAACACGGCACAAGGAAGCCACGGGGCTTGACCTTCTAAGAGGCCCAGCTCAAGGGAGGTGAAAATGACTTATTACAAATACAAATACAAATGCAATACCTTTATTGGCATAAGAACATGGATATAAGACTAATGTAATGACTAGTTCCGCAAAATCTCATACTTATTTACTTATTTCTTCTCCACTAGCTCTAATATTTCACATTAAATCTTCCAAATGGTCGAATGATATGAAGTAATCGTTATTGTAAGTCTTCCAAATGGTCGAATGATATGAAGTAATCGTTATTGTAAGTTGATAATAGAAGTTTCCTTTTCTTTCTTCTCTTTCTTACCGCTCCAATAGTTCCGATTGCTTCCTAATGTTTCTATTAAGTTTACGCCAAGTCTGTTATCTTTCTACTGAAAACATATTCGGAAGTGTGATGAGTAATGTATTGTAATTCTTTGAACATGTTATAACGTTGTACCTACTCAGGAACTATTTACAGGATGTGAATGTAATTGGAAGATTAATTGTTCACTGTTTGAAGTGTTAGAATTGTTAAAAATTGGAAAAAAAAAACATTAAAAAAAAGAACATAAGAACATAAGAGATGCCAATGTTGGATCAGGCCAAAAGCCCATCCATGTTGGATCAGGCCAGAAATACCAGGGGCCATCAGGAGGTCCACCAGTGGGGCCAGGACATTAGAAGCCCTCCCACTGTTCACCCCCCCAAGCACCAAGATGACAGAGCATCACTTGCCCCAGAGCCCCTATCTATACCTTGTGGCTAATAGCCACTGATGGACCTCTGCTCCATATGCTTATCTAATTCCTTTTTGAAGCCATCCGTGCTTGTAGCCGCCACCACTTCCTGTGGCAGTGAATTCCAAGTGTTAATCACTCTTTGGGTGAAGAAGATAAAATATATATAAAATATCAAATACACATGCAGCATAGAGCCTCAAGATAGGCTGGAGGGGTATCACATTCCGAATTGCCTTAATATGAGCCTCTCCTCCTAGATACCTCATAAAAGAAATTTGCTACAGGTTCCAGAATTTCTATATTATGCGAAGACAATAAAGAACTAATTTTATGCTCATCAGATTGGCCCAAAAGGGGGTCCAACACAGGTTCAATATAAACAACACGGATGCCATAGTGGAATTTACAGTACAATAGCACATGTCCAATGACTTATTATGGCACACCAATGATAGGTGGGGGATCACAGGGGAATCTGGAGCCAGAACAGGGGGTGTGGCCATTTCAAAGAGAAATGTGATGTTATGAATACCTGAAGCTGCCACATCAGCCACGCCGGACGATTGGCCCATCTGGCCAGGTAGTATGCCTTCTGCTTTCTAGCATCTCCCCAACATCTCGAGCAAGATCCTCATCCTACTACCCAAGCCCCTGTCCACTCAGAACGCACCAGATTTTGAACCCGGGACATTCTGCATGCAAAGCCCCTGTCCGCAGATGAATCGCCTTTCCTTTGCCTTTTCAACCTACTGGCTACCGATGCTCCCTCTAAGCTGTGGGGTCTTGTGAGCAAAAATTCTGCTTTGTGAGCTACCGGCCTTAAATGGCTACTGCAGGAATGAGTTCGCTCTGGAGCCCATCCTTCCTGAGCTGAGACAAAAATGGGTGAGCCGGAGGCTAAAAAACCGTGAGCCAGCTCACACTGTGTCAGACTCCTGGACAAACCGGCTCCCAACAGCACTCTCTTTGGCAGTGATATGTTTATTGAGGCAGTAGTAAGTTCCAGATAAGACGCTTTCTGTGTCAGAACTAAAGTCCAAGGCGAGACCCCCCCCCCCCCAGATATACTACATTCAAGCAAACCCCTCTACAGGTCTCAATCAATCAGCCCAGGCATCCAGCCCACCTAAATCTAACGTTCCTACCTTCCCCCCCCCCTGTAATTCATCCCTGCAGTTATCTACTATAGCTAGCCTAGCAGAGCTGGTGCCCAAGGTCACTTGCTTCCCAGAGGCGGGAGGTGCTTCTCCTTGCAGACAGTTTCCAAGCAAGCAAAGCATTCTCACACACATTCTCTTCCCCCCACCCCCCAGTATACATATGGCAAATGAGGCACTGAGTTTGACATTCTGGCCTGCCGGCTTGAGCGGGTATCTCTTATGGAAAGCGCGCCGCCAGCTTGGGGGCTTTAACATGCTTGGCGCACCCATTCATTATGACTAGGGTTAAAGTCCCTCCACTTGATCAGATAATAGAGGTGTCCCTATTTCATTTTTGAGTCCAGGATTTAGAGTCCCTCAGCTTAGAGGAAACACTGCTGCCTACAATGCTTTCTTTCCTTGAGCTTCCATGCGAGGTTTTCGATCTCCTTTATAGTCAGTTCCAACTCTCAGCCCTTCCAGCCAACAGCACCCCACCTCTCCTATCCCTGGGCTGCTCTGTGAGTTTCCCTACTCAACCTCCTTCCTTTGCCTTATCTATCGGCACGCATGGTTGGTATTGGGACCAAACCCTTTCCCTTCAGCAGTCTGAATGACTGCGAACGTTCCGTGATGCAATGGCCGCTCGGCCGACAGGCTTACCCATGTTGAGAGTGACGGTGATGATGTTCAGAGACATGGTGGAATCCGTGATGCTGCTGAAGGAGGACGACTGGAAAAGATCGAGAAAGGCTCATTAAGAATCCACAGAATATGGCTATCAGAAGGGCTGGTTGGGCAAGCTCATCGAGAGAAACAGTTCAGAAGGCAGCTTAAGAACACAGTGGGAGGGGATGGGGAAATACGAGTTCTTAGCTGCCACCATGGAGAGAAGGGGAGGAGGAGGAGGAAGAGGAGAAAAAGGAAGAAGAGGAGGGAAAGGAAGAGGAAGAAGAAGAGGAAGAAGAGGAAGAAGAAGAAGAGGAGATTGGATTTATACCCCGCCCTTCACTACCCAAAGGAGTCTCAGAGCGGCTTACAATCTCCTTCCCTTCCTCTCCCCACAACAGACACCCTGAGAGGTAGATGGGGCTGAGAGAGCTCTGACAGAAACTGCTCTTGAGAGAACAGCTCTGAGAGAACTGTGACTGACCCAAGGTCACACCAGCAGCTGCATGTAGAGGAGTGGGGAATCAAACCTGGTTCTCCAGATTAGAGTCTGCTGGTCTTAACCACTACACCAAACGGTCAAGCGCTTTTTCACTAAGCCTGAGACGAATTCCATGCATGAAGGACGCTGGTCGGCATTGCTAACGTTTATGTTCAAACTGTTTTGTCGCCATCTGCTTTGAGAACTCTGGCGTTCAAAAGCAGTATACAAACATGGTAAGGGGGGGGAGAACAGTTTGAACAAGAGTTTCAATACATTACCAAACCAGTCCGTTCATCGCACAGCCAATTCGGAACAGAAAAGTCCCCTTCTGCCCCGTTTCTCTAAAGCCAACCAAAATATGTCATTCAAAAAGTGTCTTCAAACATCCTTTAAATGAGGGCTCAATTAAAGAAATCTTAGTGGTTTAGCTGTATGATAAAGTCTGCAGATGAATAAAACGATCACTGTGAAGAACGAGATTTCCCCCCCAGACACACATGTATGTGTCTCAGCAAGCACCATCTTAGAAGAGGCATTCCGTCATTTAGAAGAGGCACTCCCCTGTTTAGAAGAGGCATTCCGCCATTTAGAAGAGGCACTCCCCTGTTTAGAAGAGGCATTCCTTTCAGTATGAGAGCAAAGGGAGAACACCTCTTCTAAGTTGGCAGCTGTTCACGCTTCTCCTAAGTGCCTGTCTTAAAGAATACATCTTTTTAAAAATGGGCTGCTTAATTAATATTAAGGGACACCTCCTTGAACCATCAGAAGATTTTAATTAGATAACTGCCTACCGCAGCCTACCATTGACTTCTACTGCCCCCTTTCCTTCTCCCGCCCTCTGGGCAGGCTTACTCTGTCAATCTGGCGCATCTTCTGTTTCCTCCGTCGGCGTTTGTGCTTCCGGATGAGGCGGGACGAAGTGCTTTGTTCCGTGGAGCTACTCAGCCTGGAGGAGAGGAGGAGAAATTCAGAGTGTGACTGCAGTGGCGACAGACTCTTCCTTTCCACCACCAAACTGGTCACGCGTCGTACAACCGCCTACATCAGTGGGCCGCACTCACGGAGAGCCGCGTTTGCCATTTTTTTTAATGCTGTCAAATCACAGCTGACTGATGGTGGCCCCGTAGGTTTTCAAGGCAAGAGGCGTTCCGAGACGGTTTGCCACTGCCTGCCCTGGAGCTACTCAGCCTGGAGGAGAGGAGGAAAAATTCAGAGCGTGACTGCAGTGGCGACAAACTCTCCTTTCCGCCACCAAACTGGTCACGCGGCGTACAACCGCCAACATCAGTGGGCCGCACTCCACGGCTCACGGAGAGTCGCATTTGCCATTTTAAAAAAGAACTGATCTCTGTCATCTGAAGACCAGCTGGGATAGCAGGAGATGTCCAGGCCCCACCTGGAGGCTGGCTACCCTAGCCATGTAACGCTTGTCTGCCCAGGGCACCACCCCACCAAACGCACACACACACAATAATAGGAGATTAAGATTAAATATACCAGGTATGTCCAACAGGTAGATCGCGATCTACCAGTAGATCACGGAGGGGTCAGAGGTAGATCACCAGCCCCACAGTTAAAGAAAGTTATAACCCAATAAAAAAAGAGGTCCCAAAGAGGCCAGACTAGCGGCGACTAGGGCTAGGGCTTTTTCGGTGGCGGCTCCTACCTGGTGGAATGAGCTCCCAGAGGAGATCCGGGCCCTGCGGGACCTTGCAGCACACTTCCGCAGGGCTTGTAAGACGGAGCTCTTCCGCCAGGCGTTTGAGTAGGAGCCGCCACGACTGTTACCATCTGTCTACGACTGTTACTATCTGTCCTAGCCCTTTATCACCTTTATTACCAACTCGCCGTGAGCGCTAAAATGGTGGTACTGCATGGAGCTGTGACCACTAAGGATACCATCCTGATGACGTCATCTATGCCCTCGTTAGTTATTGTGGAGAGCACTTTTGTATTGAATGTTTTTAAAATGCAGTTTTAATGTTTTATGTATTGGGCATTGGCCCGATCTGTACGCCGCCCTGAGCCCATTCGCGGGGAGGGCGGGTTATAAATTTAAATAAATAAATAAATAAATAAAATGTTCGCCGTTCTTTCTGGATCTTCATCTCTCTGCTTTGTTTTTGCTTATTTTGCTTACCAGTAAATGACAGAAGGTGCGTTATAAATGGGGAGGGGGGGCGGTGGAACCCAGCTTTAGTAGGTTAAAATCTAATTTGAAGCTAATTTGAAACTTTATTTTCATGGTGGTAGATCACCGGCACTTTTGGCTGGAAAAAATAGATCACTACCTGTTCGAAGTTTGACATGACTGAAATAGACAACTGCAACCTTTTAAATTACTGGAATGCCTCTGAACAAGGAGGATTTTCTCTCTCTCTCCCCCCTTCCCCCCCAGTAGCACAAAGTTTGAGTCCAGTGGCACCTTTACGACCAACAAAGTTTCATTTTGGGTATAAGCTTTCATCTGCATGCACACTTCTTCAGATACACTGAATCAGATTTCTTCAAGCCTTACATATGGGTAGAGAGAGGAGGGGCGGGTTAGTTGCCAGGAAGGCCTAGTTAGAGTCATTGCATAAGTAACTGGGCAATAAGTATAGCCGAGCTTGGATTAAAGCAGTTTGTAAGACCTGTGAATAGCAGCAAATCAGCACACAAATACAAGAGTTAACAAACAGATCTGAGGACGAAGTTTGAGTCCAGTGGCACCCCCAAGACCAACAAAGTTCAGTTCTGGGAATAAGTGCGAACAGAGAGACGTAGCATGTCTAGAGGCACACTTCTTAAGATACACTGAAACAGATTTCCTCAAGTGTTGCCAGGAACGGCTAGTTACAGTCAAGATGCCTAAGTACAGCTAAGACTGGAATGATGCAATTGGTAAGATCAGTGAACAGTAGTAAATTAGCACAGAGATAATAAAAGAGTTAACAACAGATGTGAGAACTAAGTTTGAGTCCAGTGGTACCGTTAAGATCAACAAAGTTTAATTCTGGGTATAAGTGATGATGATGAAAGCTTATGATGATGATGAATTCTGGGTATAAGTGAGAACCTAATGACTTAGCATGTGTAGCGAGATAAGAACCTAATATCTCTGTTAATGCCTGGAGGTTCCATTGTCCTGAACACTGTAATAACTTGTAATTCAGCAATCTCCCGCTCCAGTCTCTTAGACTACCCTTGGGTATCTGGAGTAAGGGATAGAGCTGGCAAGTCAAATGACACAAAACTTTGTGCAAGGTCTCAAGTTGTCCAGAACTCTTTATTACAGAGCATTTCAAAACATAAATGCCTCCCTCTGTTAAGCCACCTGAGTGCTGTGATGAGGGCATGGAAGCTGCAGAGAACAGTGGGGTGTGTGGGAGAGGACAGGCCCTGTTACCTCCAGTCCCTGGAAGTGAGGCCCACAGCTCAAGGAGGCTCACAGCTTACCCATCCTTCCATCCCTCCAGCCATGTAAAACACCTGCCATCTACAAGTGCGAACCATCCATAAGCCCCTCTATGAAATGGCCTTGCCCACTTTCCTGAGAAACATGGCAGGTCCCACACTGGAACGGGGTCAGGAGAGCTACAGAGGCCACATCAAAGAGCCACGTGTGGCTCCCGGGGCATTAAGTGAGCATCACTGGCCTAGGTAAAGTAGCCAGCAATGTGAGGGAAGCGTGGAGAAGAGGGAACTGTGTTCCCGCAAACGACATGGGCACTAGCCAATAGGTGTCTGCCAGTGTTCCCTCTAAGCTGAGTGAGTGTGAGCTAGCTCACAGTTTTTTAGCCTTCAGCTCACAGATTTCTGTCTCAGCGCAGGAAGGAGGGCTCCAGAGCAAACTGATCGGTGCAGCAGCCAAGTTGCTCGCTCACAACTTTAATGCCAGTAGTTCACAAAGTAGAATTTTTGCTCACAAGCAAAGGTCGATTCGGGAGGGATCGCAATTCCCCTGGGTGAGGTGCGGGGGGCGGGGCACACGACGAAGCCCCACCCCTTGTTTCCGGCCGCCGCTTCCGGCCCTCATTCAGCCAGGAGGAGGCAGGAGAAGAGGGAGGGTAAGTTGCTTCCTCCCCGCCTCTCCCCACCCCTGCCTGCCTGGGGCCAGGGAGGGCCTTGGCGGGGCTTCCTCGCACTCCCGCCGGCCTTGCAGGTCCACCGCCGGGCCCCTGATGTCAGGGTGTGTGGCATATGCTAATGAGTTATGCTAATGAGTTCCCCTAGCTCTTTTTCTACGAAACGACCCCTGCTCACAAGACTCCACAGCTTAGAGCTGGGGTGTCGGCACGACTTGGGTAATCGCATTTCACACAGTGGAGTCTAGGGTTGCCAACTCCACATTAGGGATTTCCTGGATGGGTGGGGGTGAAGTCTGGGGCGGGCAGGGTGTGGGGAGGAGAGGGACCCCAGCTGTGCGTAAGGCCACAGAGTCCACCCTCCATAGGAGCCATTTTGCTTTTTTTTTTGTCGTACGGAGATCAGTTGCGATCCTGAGAGATCTCCAGCCCCCACCTGGAAATTGGCAACCCTCAGTGGGACCCTAGTGGATCGCATCAAGGCTGCAGGGACGCTGGTTCGAGATCTTGAGTTTCTGATTATAGGCCTGCTTGGTTGCAGAGAGATGGGCTCGTATATCACGGCAAGACGAGAGACCGTTTCAAGCTAGGGACCCAACCTTTAAACTCAGTTCGGCAACATGAGACCCGCTTTGAATTACAGAGAGAACACAGCTTCCTTTCTCCTCCACTCTCTAGGGAATGGCTGGCATAGATGAATGGCGACAGCGGGGTCTTAACAACCTGAAATTACTGTTTGGTTTAACGAGAATAATTTACAGCCCTTTTCTCCTTCCAAGCAAGAGCATCACGTCCTTCTCCTGGGCCGGGCGTAAATCAAACCTGGATTTGGCAGAGGTCAGAAGGGTCTGTCTATTCCCAGGGCTTTAGGGTGGTCTTGACCGGTGTTGCCTAGAAAAGCACCCAGGGAAATCCAAACAGTTAGCCTGAGTGATCATTCTGACAGGTGGTAAACCTGTGTCTGGCCTGTACCAAGTCAGGTGGTGGGGGTGGGGGTGTCACATGATCATAATGGTAAAGGTAAAGGTCCCCTTGCTCGAAAGCCAGTCGAGTCCGACTCTAGGGTTGCGGTGCTCATCTCCGTTTCAAAGCCGAAGAGCCAGCGCTGTCCGAAGACGTCTCCGTGGTCATGTGGCCGGCATGGCTAAACACCAAGGCGCACGGAACGCTGTTACCTTCCCACAAAAGTGGTACCTATTTATCTACTTGCAGTTTCTTGCTTTCGAACTGCTAGGTTGGCAGGAGCTGGAACTAGAGACAGGCGCTCACTCCGTCATGCAGCACACTCGGCTCTCGAACTGCTGAACTACCGACCTTCCACAACCTGCAGTTCAGCGTCTTAACCACTTGAGCCACCGCAGCTCCCACATGATCATACTTTTCTTTTAAAAAATCACCATGCTGGTAGAAAGCTAGAGTGTCAGGGATACGGGCAGGCTAGAACTCAGAGGTGTGCTCATTTTCTCCATGCGGTGAGGGTTTTTTGTTTTTATAGCCCTGATCCGGTTTTACCACTTCAGTGTGGAACAGGCCAGTGCTTTCTTTCTTTCTTTTTTTTAAAGAGATGCCTGAACTCTCAAGAGGGAAATGAAGTTTTCAATCTGTATACTGAAAAACTCACAAACTTTCATAAGCATTTTAAAAAGAATTCCATTCTGGTGAGTTCCCCCAGGAAAAAAAGCCCTGGAACGGGCCATCTTTCGTGTCGGTTCATAAATATTTCAGGGAGGAAGACACCAGCCAATCATGGTCAACACCCACACAAATCCATTGGCTCTAGCAACCTGAGTGGAAAGTGCACTGAAAGTGGATTGTTTAGTGTGTGCAGGGGTAATTTCCTGCGGGAGCGCACAGGAGCGGAGCTCCGGCAGTAAGGAGC